ATGATGAGTATTAGAAGGGCATTAATGTCTTTTGTACACACCAGAGATAGATATCTAGTCTAACCTTGTATCTCCTTTTCCTGTTGGACAAAAAGCTCCATTTGCTGCATCAAATTTGGTGTTAAAAGTTTCATGTGTCCAATTTTGTCCTTCAAGTTTGAGTTGATACTTGATAGTTGATACATGTATTTGTATTCAATATATCTAAATTTAATAATTCATATGTTTGTTGCAGATTGAGGGTGATATTTTGGCCATTAAAAAGGCACTTATTGCTGTGACTCGTTGCATTCAAGATTGCACCCATTCTCAAAGTCAAAAGACAAGGGCAGTAGTAGGTAGGACCCACCCTACTACAGCTCCATGGGATCTCATACCCAATGGGGTTTCCAATTCCAATTCCCACACACACACACCCACAGACTTTGACTTCCCTCCACCACGAAGTCAAGGTCAAGGATTTCACCTTCACCCTCACCCTCACCCCCCAACATCCATAGATGCTGACATGGAATCCCAGAAGGAAATAGTTTTCAGGATTCTGTATTCCAGTGATAAAGTGGGTAGCTTGATAGGCAAATCAGGGACAATCATTCAAGCTATTCAAAACGAATCAGGTGCCCATATAGCAATTGGAGCTCCCGTTTCTGATTGTGATGAAAGATTGATCACCATTTCTGCAATGGAGGTTTGCTACTCACTTACTTACTTTCATACTATGATTTATATAATTTATCGTATTAATCTGTTTTTTTTTTTTATGGTGAGAAGAGTGCAGAGTCACGAAACTCAGCTGCACAAAATGCAGTGATTCTTGTATTCAATAGGTCAGTTGAGTCTGGGTTTCAAAAGGGGATGGATATGGCATCAAGTGGGACCCAGGTTTCTGCTAGGCTTGTGATATCACAAAACCAAATGGGTTGTCTGTTGGGTAAAGGTGGGTCCATAGTTGCAGATATGAGAAAGGTGACTGGTGCTTTTATAAAGATAGTTGGTGATCATCAAGTTCCTAAGTGTGCACCTGAAACTGATCAAGTAGTGTTGGTGAGCACTCTTTCTTGCATTTACCCAAACAAATTATCTGTTGTAATTATAGATTAATTGAAGCTTCAATTTTTTTTTTTTAAAGATGACAGGAGAGATGATAAATGTCCGAGATGCTTTATACAGTGTTACTGGAAGACTAAGAAACAACTTATTCTCAAATAAAATGTCAAATAGCCATGGAACAACCAAGGGCACATATACACATCATCAGTCTTCTGTTGCCACGTCCTCACATTATCCTAATCAGCATAATACTAATTTAACTCAAACTATGGATAATCTCAAACTCTCAAGTAGTAGCATAGATCGTCCTCTGACACCTGGACAATGGCACCTTCCGGTAATATTCTTTTTCTTATTTCTTCCTGTTTTTGATGTTTGAGAATTGAATTGTTTCTTTATTTATTGCAGATGGGAAAGGATATTAACACAGGGTCAACTCCTGTAGTTAGATCTGCTATAGTGAGTAACATGAGTGTGGAAATTCTAGTACCCCAAACTGTCATTTCTTTGGTTTATGGGGAGAATGGAAGCAATCTCACTCGATTAAGACAGGTAATTGTTACAATTCTACTTACATTTTCTTTTGTAGATTACTATAAATAAATAAATAAATAAATAAATAATAAGGATTTTTGTTATATGGAAAGCAGATTTCAGGTGCAAAAGTGGTAGTGCATGAGCCACGTTCAGGAACAAGTGATCACATTGTGGTTATTTCGGGTACTCCAAATGAAACCCAATCTGCTCAGAGTCTCCTTCAAGCGTTCATACTTGCAGACCAATCATAACAAACAACCAAAATCACACAATTTATTTTACATACAGCAAGTTAAAAAAGTAATTTCATTAGAGATCTTTTGTCTTTTTGAAACTAAACCCCAATGAATTCAAAGTAACTGTAAACATCTCGTAAGTTATATAAAATCTTGTATCATAGACATTGGGGGGGTTTTGGTCTAACATACAAGAAAAGTAAAACATGAAAAATATAGACTTTGTGATTATGGGTGAATCATGCTGTTTCTTTTAGTATTATCTCAACATTATCATGAACACCTTGTAGTAGTAACTCCCCATCATATGTCACAATTTTACGTTTTTTGGCTGCCCTTAGTGTGCCTACAAGTGCCTCAAAGATGTTTGCACATCTGTCATCGTTGAACAGCACGCCAAATGTCACCTTCATCATTAATTTTAATCAATTTTTGTATCAGAAATGAGAAAAGAATAATGTCATAAAAAATGGTGATTGAAAGGTTCGATCATGATATAAAAAAACCTATAATGTGCAAGCGTATAACGCATTATTGCACTAAATTTATAGATAAATAAGAGAACATTATAGATCCGCCATTAGCAAACAACAATTCAATTACACCAAATTTCATATCAAATTCTCTGAACATTGATGTAAATCTGAAGAACATATGAAGAAAACGAATGTGAATTTGGTGGGTGAGATTACCTTGTAAAATCCATCGTTTTGTTTGTGGCCAAGTCGTTTGATTTCTTCTTTGAGTTGCTCAATTTCTTCCTCTACGTTCATGATTTTCTTGAAGCTTTGGTTTGTTTGGTTTTCACTTTTCAGGGGATCTCGTGTTGTCTCTCTCACAAATCACAATACATACATAGAACCATTTATATGGTCATATTGGGAATACAAATTAATAATACGAGTACTATAATATCTTCAATATATTTCTTAATAATTTAAACTACATATGACCAATGTGTAAACGTTTTAACATCTAATGATATCACCAAATGTCATTCACCAACATTCTTATGAGGATATTCAAGATGAATAAGTCGCATTATAGCGCAATGCGGTCCAAGTCGATTTGAGGTCCGTGACAAAATAAAAAAATAAAACCTTACAATACAAAGAATTAGTGTATGAGGGTAGCTTTATTTTTTTTTATTTTTTTTTTATTTTTAATTTGCACTTGTTATAAATTATTCTTCGATCATTTTTGTAATAGTAGTATTTGCTTGTTTTTCTTTTCTCGCAGCCAGATATATTTTCCAGGTAATATGTTATTATTTTAAAATTATAAAATAAAGAGAGAAAAAAAAAACAAGTAAAGGAAACGAAAACACCTAATTGTTGACTTTTGATGTGAATCATTTTCCAATAACGCAAATAACAATTTTTTATTCGTTTTCTAGGCTCCAGCAATAAAGAAGTGTACAATAACGAAATCTTACAACCGTAATGTTAAAGTTTCAAGTTATCTACAAAAAAATAAAATGAAAACACATAAATTAATTTTTTATCATAAAACTAATATGAAATAAGTGTACAATAACGAAACTTACAATTTACACGAATAAGAAACCATATTAACATGAATATGAAATCATAAATCAGAATTAGTAAGTTTGCCTGAAATCATATTAACACGAATGCAAGATTAGTTTTTTTAAATGATGCGTTAAATCAGATTATCATAATTGATATATTAAGAAATATTGAAATCGGAAATCAAAAAACAAAAACTCAAATTGAAAATTAGAAGCTTGCATGAAAAAACCAGAATTGATTTATTATGAATTGATATTTTGTTACCGTTGAAAAAATCAAAATTAATTCATAGTCTTTCGATCGATGGTGTAAGAAGCTTAATGCGATGATTATTCCAGAAGAATTGCACATCTGTTAGTCTTCTATGTTGATTAGGTTATGGTTTCATTTCATTTGTCCACTCATTCTATTTCGGTTCCATTTTTCCGCTCAGCCGCTATACACAATATGTCAGTTTTTTCTATATTAAAATAATAAGGTATATAAAATGAGGGTCTTCTAAATTTGGAGGCACTGGGTCATCATCTATGTTATCCTATCCATTGGCACCCCATGCATATTGCAACAAAATATTGATTATTTTTATATGAAGCAAGTCGAGTAGAAGCTAACCTATAAATTCATGGACTAGTGCAATTATGAAAATGGTTTATGGCTCTAGATTTACCATCTTTAGGTTCCGTTTGATACGCATCTTTCCAGTCCAAACAGATCTTTCTGGCTGAATGGACCGGAAAAACTGTTTGATTTGCACAAAAAAATGAGTCTTGTCCGGTAAGATATGTCTTTTCCAGATTGCCCCCAAATCATATCTTTCTGACTAAATTGGCTGGAAAGACAATTATGCACCAAACCTCACCTCTTTCTTTCTTTCTTGGATTATTAAATAACTTTTTTAAAATTTATTTTTTAGTGAATTATTACTTTTTTTCATCATTCAGCACAGTCAATCAGATGTACAATCAAACAACATAGTTTCTTTTCCAATCAGAAAACTTTCCCAAACAACAGTTTACCAGACAACACTTTCCCAGACAGAAACTATCAAACGAAACCTTAGTTTTGGTCTAAGAGTTTCTATATTTTTGTATTTTCTAATGCAAAATGAAATCAAGAATAAAGAATACTAACTGAGAATTTATTACTAATTTAATATAGTGATGAAATGCTTATAAAACCTTTTTATATAGAACAAGCTAAATTTGATAGATATGTGAAATTCTGAAAAACTAAAATTGACATTAAAGTCTTCAAATTAAGCTCCTAAATAAAAACAAAAAATTTAGAAAGAAATGAAAACAAATATTATATCATTAAAACATAATAAAATAAAAATGAAAATTGGGAAAAAGTGGAATTTGAGAATCAAACATGGACAAACTGCATGCTTCAGTTTGTCGAGAACTTTCCGAGGATGTATCACACACCTCTAAACTCTTGATGGATCAAACTCGAGAGCTTAGAAGTAATTTTACATGGGTTAAAGACCAACTAAACAACAAATCGAAAAAATTAACTATCCCATCAAGAAAAGAACTTAAGGGTTGTATTTGTGACTTTTTGTAAAGTACAGGTACCATTTATGTAATTTAGCCTAAATTTTTATATGTATTAATCGTTTTATTATAATCCAACCAAACAAACAATGCTAAGCTGCACAAGGTACAAGTCATTAAGCATAAAGAGTGACGTCATATTTTTAAGCTTACCTTCTATGTTCTATGGCACACAGAGTGCATATACCAGTACTACCTAATCGAATGTTGTGAAAGCCTCATCCGTTTTCTCGTAATCCTAATCCCTACTACGATTAGGGTTCATCCTGTACTTCAAAAAGGTTGTTTTCCCCCCCTTACGCCCATTCTTACGTTCCTCTTTATTTCACAAGAAGCTTAATTCTGATTCGATTATTCGGTTTTATTTGTTGGATCTCATTCTCATATGTATCTATCGTAGAATTCTGTAAAATTTATTGCATTTTGGGGTTTTTTTGATGGTTTTTGAGAATGTCGGAAGCCAATATTAATAATCAACGCCATCATCAAGCATCGATTTACGAGGGCGTTAATCTGCAACCCGTAAATTTGCATCATCATCAGCAACAGGGAATTAGCATCAATAATAACGATAATCAACATCACGTAGTTGAAGATGTGGTTGTACATGAAGATGATGATGTTGCCGTCGGCGAAGAAGAGTCTATAGACAACCCTAGTCGTATCCGCTACGACAACCACAACTCCCATCACCATCACCAGCATAATACTTTACAGAACAGCGGCAGTCTCGAAACCGGCATGGAGGATATGAGCGTTCAGCCGCATGCTTTGTATGTACAGGACGCTGAAATTCAGCCTGTTAGCGGTGGAGTTGCAGGTGCAGGTGGAGGTGGAGGTGCGGATCAGCTTACCCTGTCGTTTCAGGGAGAAGTTTACGTCTTCGATGCCGTTTCGCCTGAAAAGGTTTATTCTCTTTCTATGACATTAGGGTTTTGTTTGCTTATAATATATTGAAAATGCCTTGTTCGTTATTCATTACCGACCTAATTGAACAATTTTCATTATTTATTGTGGTTTTCCCCTTTTTGGCATGCTTACATCTTTAGGATTGAATCATGATATTGATGATTGATCTAGTTCTTGATCTGCCACAAATTTACAGGTGCAAGGTGTGTTATTGCTTTTGGGTGGTTATGAAGTACCAACTGGTGCCCCTACTTTAGGGATCCCCCCTCAAAATCAAAGGGTATGAGTACAGCAGAGTGTTTGGACTTCTGATTTTCATGTTTGTTTTAAGAGATTTTTTTTGGTATAAATGCAAAATAGGGTTTAAACGTGTTCCCTGGAAGATCAAGTCAACCACAAAGGGCTGCTTCTTTGAGTCGATTCAGGGAGAAGAGAAAAGAAAGATGCTTTGATAAGAAAATCCGTTACACTGTACGGAAGGAAGTTGCTCTTAGGTAATATATTATATGCTTATAAGTTGAGGTGGATATATCATATATTATATCTGATTCACATTTTATACTCCCAGAATGCAGCGTAAAAAAGGGCAGTTTACATCATCCAAGGCCAATTCTGATGAAACAGGCTTAGCTTCTTCAGATTGGAACGGTGGTCCTGGCCAAGATGAAGAAACAACGTAAGCAGCCTTTTTTTTTTTTTTTTTCATAATGATTTTTCTTTTATTTTATTTTGTAGCTTCAGTAAGACAATAGTCCATTTGTTTCATGGGACATAACAGCTTTTTTATGATGAGGATGAAGAGGGACAGTAATTTGGTTGTTTGTATTACTTTTTATAGATGTAGGCACTGTGGGATCAGTTCAAATTCAACCCCAATGATGCGTCGTGGGCCTTCTGGGCCAAGGACATTGTGCAATGCATGTGGATTGAAATGGGCTAACAAGGTTTGTCGATTAGTTTTGATGTTGACATTCTTAACTGATTTTATTGAGATGAGTTGTAATGTGCACAGGGGGTTTTACGGGATCTTAATAAGGTTTTAGCAGACCCTACTACTGGAAAGACTATTATTGAGCAGGTGCAGGTGAGGTACACAATTATTTTTCAGATTTAATTAATAATAATAATAGCATTTGGCATTTGTGTTGATGTGTTTTTGGTTTATTTGCAGAGTGGGGGTGGGGAAGGGAATGGAAGTGATGGTGTAAATGTGGTTTTTAATGGAGGAGATGGTTCAGCTGTGACTGCTGAAAGGTGAGGGAGGAGTTCCTTTCCTTGTCTTATTCAGTTATTTGTTGCAGCAGCCAAAGCCAATGGAGATATATATATATATATATATATATATATATATATATATATATATATATATATATATATATATATATATATATATATATTTATGTTGAAGGAAAAAAGGTGTAAAATAAGAGAGTAGTTACTGTTTACAAAGATTGTAGATATTGGTTTACGTCTTGAGGGAAATGGGAGTTGCATTTTATATATATAGCATTTTTCTCTTTTATAATCATAGGGTCGCGATGTAACTTCTAAATTCACGATTTGTAACACACTGGTAGATCACTGCTCACCTTATTGAACATGAAATACATTTGGGTCGCTAGCTTTTTTTTTTTTTTTGGATAGAGGATGGTGTCTCAGTTAAAATTTTATTAATAGAAAAATAATAATAATAATAATAATACAATATACAGGATTGAAGTAAAGAAAAGGGGCCCTTGTACAAGCCAAGATATTACATAAAACAACAAAAGGAAAGGAGGTCAGAACAGTTATGTACAAACATAAATTTAAATGCCACGAACAACAGACACATACATTACGTTTTTAACGTCACTGTTTGTAACTACATGGAGACAGCCTGAGCAGCATTATGATATTTGAGAAAAGAGAAGAGAGGCATGAATTAGTCGAGTGGGGTGACAAGTGTTGAGAAAATTATGGAAGTGAGACATAAGAAGATTGGAGACACCATCACTATTCACCCATACACCATCTCCATTTTCAATGGTATCAATAATGTTTCTGGAGTTGCGACTTTTTCTGAGTTTTATAGAAGAAAGAATAATTTTTTTCACCTTCGTAAAGCCAATCAGCTTTATCCTTTTGCTTGAGGAATCTCTCTTCATCAAGGCAGGACTCATTATAGGCATTGAGGTAGGACTTATGCTCTTGATGCAGATCCGGATTTTTATAAATAACAAATTAGACAATATCAAGCTCTATGCGAGGGTTAAGGACTTTTGTAGAAAGTTTGCCATGGCTCTTTAAGAAATTCCTAATAGGGTCTTTCAAACGTTTTAGGTTTTAGGAAGCCTTGAACATATGATGCCTACAGATATTAGGACCCCACTAAGATGCAACAATCTGCTTGAAATATTTTTTATGGGTAAGGAAATTTGGGAGTTAAAAGGCCTGGACTTAAACGAGGAGTGAGAGGGGAAAGAAAGCATAAGAGGGCTATGGTCAGAGGTATAGTAAGGGAGGAAGACAACAGAAGCGGAAAGGAAAGAAGAGAGGAAATGGGGATTATCCATGATACATTCAATATTCTTTGTAAGAAGTCCAGTACCACCATTATGATTTTAGGCCCAACCGCCCAAGTATAAAATATGTCTTTAAAGTTGAGGTCCGCAGTATCAATCTGATTGACACAGTCACAAAAATCATTCATATAACAGAAATACTAGAAACATCTGCGGTGTTGTCTTTAACGTCTAAACAACACTAAGTCTCTTATACTTGACGGAGTGGCTGCGGCTAAGGCCGCACTCCTTATGCCACGTATGCACAAACACCACCCCCTGGGGGCGGTCCAGGTGCGGCTACAGCCTTCAGAGGGAGTGCTTCTCATTTGTTTTTGATTGGTCGATGGAGTTACTGTTTGCAAACGGTCAATTATTTTTAAAAAAATTCATTTACTAACATTATAAATACCTTATCAAATTAACCAAAAACACCCACAAACATTTTATTTTTTTACCATCTTCTCTATTTTAAAACCCACAAAATTGTCATCTTTCAAAAATCCAACCAACTAAAAAACACTCACTAGAAAAACCACAACTCCAAGACCTTCACCCGATCAACCGGTTTATTCGCCTTCTTTCTATCACTACGGAGGTGTGCTTCCCTATTTTCCGCAACATATCCAACAACCACAACGCCCTATGCAACCATTTCCACAAACACAAACACAATTTGATGCGGATTTTGATCCTTTTGATTTTAATTCTCAATCATAGTTTGCTCCACAAATATCCATTTTCGAATCCGAACCAGAATTTGTTCCACAAACTCAACCCTCTCAACCAGGAAATAAAAGAAAAGAGAAGGTGGAATCTAAATCGTAGGAACCTCAAGAAATGTTAGTATTAGCACAATCATACATTGACGTTTCAGAGGACACGAAGACGGAAGGGAACTAAAGCATGATCGTTTTTGGATGCGCTTTAGAACTAGATTCCACAAAAGAATGAACCTAGAACCATATTGTACTAAACATCAAGTGTACTCAAAATGAGGAAAGATGAACAAAGACGTAAAGTGATTTTGAAGAAAGTTTTTAACATTTATCAAAAAGAGCAAAAGAAGACTTTCAAGTTTTTTGAAGTTTTGAATCTACTCAAAGGCAACAAAAATGGCAAAATCAAAAAACAAGCGACGAGCACATCGATAGTGGATTAAAACAGTCAAAAGCTTCCGAATCCGAACACACTTCATCTAATGCTCGTGTTGGTTTCAACCTCAACGAGGATGAGCCCGTTCAAGTGTCACACCCCCCCCCCCCCCCCCCCCCCGGGGACCAATGGGAATGGACAAAACAAAAAACAAAGACAATGGCAAAGCGTCGGAATCGGATGACTTGAGAAAAATAGACGAGAATGTGTAAGGTATAAAAGATAGAATGGATAAATTTTTGCAACTTGCTTCGGATAGAGAGAGTCGGAAACAAAGTGACAGCGACCAGAGAGTGCTATCGATGGATATGTCGAATTTGATCGGGGATGTGCCGATCCACTTCAAGTTGTTTTGCAAATGAAGGAAGACGTGAAAAAAAGTTACGTTAATCGTGGTTAATTTGTAGTTGTTTTCCAAAATTTTAATTATTTGATGTGTGTGTGTGTGTTTTAATTTGTAGTTGTTTTCTAATTTTCTAGGATTTTTTTATGTCATGTTTTTTAAGTAATGTAATGGTTTTATATTTTTAATTAAAGAAATCTTTTGTTTTTAATTAAAACTAAAAATTTTAATTATTAAAAAATAAAAATAATTAAAGGAGTGTGGTACCATTCCTTGGGTGTAGTATGAAACCATATTTTTATGGTAAAGAGTAAGGTGACACCTACGTGGTAGTCAAGAAAGTGTAACTTCTAGCCTTGTAATGAACCTAAAAGAATTTTTAACCTTATGGTTCTGAGAACAAACCCAGGCCCACATGTACATAAGTTATTAGGCTAGCGGGTGCAGCGTCACATTTGTCACGATCCACATATGTGTCACGTCAGTTTTGTCACATTCCTTCAAATTTTTGTTATTTTTATGGCATGGGTTGCCACACTTATCATGATATTTTTTTTAATTAATTAATTTTAAAAAAAAAATAAACATTTCAAACATACATTTTTTTTTTAAATTTTCATTTAACTAGAATAATAATTAGGATTTATAAGTCAATGGTGGATTCTGTAATTTTAGAAACTATTTATGTAGAGAGAATTTATGATGGAGGTACTTTTTGTTAGTAGACCAAACCATAAGGACCTTGCATGTTAAATCTAGAAAATTTTGTTGTCTTCTCCATCATTTAAACACATACAGATTCAAAAGTTTCTTACGTTTTTCACCTCCAACTTCAAAGCTTCAACTTCAAAAGAAAATTTAAATCCTCACTTTCTCACGGTTTTTCCCAAACCATACACACTCTCTCATCAGTACGAATCCACCGAGTTGTCGAGCCGAGCTCGGCATGCTGAGGGCTCGACCCGGTGTTCGCCAAAGTAGTCGAAGTGCTTGTCGAGACCACACCCACCAGCCTTATGATATAAAGAGAATCCCACAGGGGACAACGTTACATATGGTTATTATGATATAAATGAACTGATTTTTTTTTTAAATAAGAAAATGCATGACCTGATCGGTGTCATCTAAAAACATCATGTCAACATGTAACAACAATATGAGTGCCTCTAGGGCTCTCGGAAAACTTAGACCTAACGGAGTGGGTGCGGTAAGACCGCGGTTTTGCCACGGTGGTACTGAGGAACACCGCCCCCGCCATGCGGTTTGACTTTAATATTAAATGTTACTAGCTTCTTCCGTTTATAATTTTTTCTTTTTATTTATACTTTTAATTATCGTTTTTTATCTTTTTCTTTCAACATTAGGCCAATAACAATAATTATTATAACATTTTGATATTATCATCAATCATAATATTTTAAATCGCACAACTGATTTTTAGAAAGAATATTATTATAGTTTGAATCCTGTTACTAGGTCCATAATCATATTTTTGAACCCAAATTTATGTGAAAACATTTTTTTCTTCAAAATCATAGGATCAAAAATAATTACCATTCAAAAATATTTATGATCATTAAATTGTTCTAATCGAAAATATTATGATACTTAATATTATATTTTATTATTCAAAATATATAATTTAAAATAATTTATGATGCAAAATAATATAATCCAATATGTTATTATGAACCAAAGTTTATATGAAAAGACTTTATTTGGATTAAACTTATTTGGTTTTAGAAGTGATTTGATCTACAATATTATAATTCAAAATATTTATAATTTTTGAATTTTAATCCAAAATGTAATAATTTAACTATTTAAGTTATGATGTAAATATTTATGATAAAAAAAAAAAGATATGTATAAAATATTTAATGATGCAAAAAATATTATTTCCCAATATAATTTTGATCCAAAATATTATTATTCAACATAATTTTGATCTAAAAGCATATGGTCCAAAATAATTTTTGCCCTACGATAATTATAATACAAAATATTTATGAACTAAAAATTACTGATTAATGAAAAAAAATCTTTGTGAAATTGATATGATCCAAATAATATAATCTAAAATCATATTATCCAATTGACAAACTATATGACTCAAAATTTTATAATTCAAAATCTTATGTTCTAAAATAATATGATTCAAATTTTGTTATAATTTCACGTGTTATATCCAAAAATTGTTATGAAGAAAAAGTTATTTGAATAATTTGATTTGGTTTAAAATTTTAATATCCAAATTTGACGATTCACAATTATTATAAACATATTTTAAAAATACGATATAATTTTAAATTATTTACTAAGAAATTTATTATTAAGAAATATTGTGAGTTATAAAAGATTTAAAATAAGTAAAATTATTTTATGAAATTATAAAATTATCAATAAGTGATGCCTATCTATATTAATTAATTTGTGCATCAAACTATAAAATAAAAAAATGTTTAATAAAAGCATGCAGGATATTATTTATTTTGTCTTAGAAAATATTATTTATTTAATTTGAAATAATAGTCACGGCAAATTAGGGCACATTGGGCCAACGCAATTAAAAGGACCACACTCATAGCTCATGTCCAAGTAGGCGTCAAACATAAAAATATGGTGTACTTATTACCCCGATCATGTGACGCAATATAGTCGTATGTTATTTTTAAAAGATCTAATATGCTCAAGAATCGTATTAAAGTGATTATTATTTA